GCTTGCACGTAGTCACTTATTAAATGATTATTGATTGATTATACCATGAATGTTGTGTGCCATTCTCTGAAAAAAAAAAGAGAAAGAAAAATTCCTCTATTTCTCCTTTGTGTCTTCTGAATCCAAGACCAAGTTTCTTTCTATTTCATTATGCTTTCTCCCATCTGTCTCTGAAACACAGAGAAAGTAATAAGTATCCAGGTAACTAAGCAATGGATTGGACCAGTATAAAGCACTCAGGAGTATCCTTTTTGAGAATTTGAAGTAAGCAACTCATCAAAATACTGGCACTATAGACAGTCTTCCCGGATATGGAAGTTGCTTTGGGTAAAGAGCCCTTCTTTGCATCAATGTTTACTATATTAATTTTGTAGAACAGGTCTTAGGAGATCTGAGCTCTAGTACTGGTTCTGCTGCTGGCTAGCTATGTGACTTTGGCAAGTCATTTACTCTAATTGCAAAATCTGGGGGCTGGTGGTCAGCCCTCCACGTCCTTGACCTTTCTGCAGCTTTTAAAAATAATTGTCCATCCTGCCCCACTGGATATTTTCCAAGAGCATAAGAAATTCTCTTGGTTCACCTCCTACCTCTTCGACTACTCATTTGTTGCATCCTTGTCCCTTCCCTGATCCCTTTGTGTGACTATTCCACAAATCCATCCTTGACCCTATTTTCTGTTTAATTCACTTTTATGCTTCCCCTTTTATGAATCTTTCAGCCTCAGCTCTGCAAGACTCTATTCTGAGCCCCGATCTCTCTTCAGATCTCCAGACTCGTATTTCCGGGTGTGCCGACACTGTATCTTTACCTAAATGTCCCTTCAGCATATCAAACTCAAAATGGAGTTCATCATCTTTCCCCCTAACCTTGTTCCTCCTTCTAACTTTATTAGCTCTTTCTATGGTTATCTGTGGCTCCACAATTCATCCAGTCTCCTGTCTTCTTGAACTTAATCTTGACTCTTCCTCTTCACTCACCTATTATATCCCTTGTGTTAATTACCTCTGTGACATCTTTTCCCCCGCCTCATTTCTGTCTATTATTACCCTACTACAAGTCCTTCATTATCACTTACGTGGACTTTCAAAGTAATCTCTGCACAGATTTTCTCACTTCCATCTTCTTCCAATCTATCCTTCATATCACTGCTAAAATCTAATTTCTTATGCATATAGCTTGTCATTTCACTACTGCTCACTGTTGCCTTTCAGATAAACTATGAAGTCTACAGCCTGGAGATCAGATACCTCTTACCTTGGCCCATACTGTTTTTCTCAACCCATTTTATATTCCAACTAAGCCAGACCACATCCTCTGCCTCTCAAATACAGACTGTACTTATGTACCTCTGTAATTTTTTTCACAGCATTCCCAATGCCTGGAATACTCCATGTCCCCATCATTGCCTTCCTTTAAAGTTTAGTTCAAATGCTGTTTCTAGCAAGGTTTCCTTGATTATCTGTTCCCCCTTTGCTTTGTAACTCCACAATAATGTTATCCTATAGTATCTTCTGTTGTTGTTTTTCAGTCGTTTAAGTCATGTCTGACCCTTTGTCACCCTATTTAGGGTTGACTTGGGAAAGATACTGGTGTGGTTTTCCATTTGCTTCTCCAATGGATCCAGTGGATCTGTTTTGTCAGGGAGTCAGAGGTTAAGAGACTTGCCCAGGGTCACACAGTTAGGAAGTGTCTGAGGCTGGATTTGAACTCAGGTCTTCCTGACTCTAGTTCCAGTGCTCTATCTACTAAGTCATTGGCTGCCTCATGACATCTTGCATTATAGCTATTTGTGTATTTATTGTTATTATTGTGTTGTATTAAGTTGTATACTTTTGTAGCACATGTTGCAAATAAAGCTCTAGGTCCCAGGTTTGGGGCCTGTTAGTTTCACCATGTCCTAGGGCAATATTCTATGTACATCCCTAACTTCAGCCATTTTTCTCAAAAATATGCTATTTGTCACAAGGGGGATTGGTTACAAAGGTGTCTAAAGCAGTCCATCATTAGGTGGCATAGTAAATAAAATTTTAGACTTGGAGTCAGGAAGAACTAAGTTTGAATTCTGGCTCTGATACTTAGCTGTGTGACCCTGGGCAAGTCACTTCACAGCCTCAGTTTCATCATTTGTAACAGCACCTACCTTACAACATTATTGTGAAGGTTCAATAAAATAACATATACGTATATATATATATATAATATATATATATACACATATATTGCTTTGCAAACCTCAAAATGCTATATAATTACTAGCTGCTATTATTATTTCTATTGCAAAAATAATTGAGCATGCAAATCCTTTGTTAGTGGTTTAGTAGCCTCTACCCATTTTGAAGGATAGTGCATCTTTGAAACCTTAAGAATAAATCTGCATGTCCATTTCACACACACACACACACACACACACACACACACACACACACACACGTAAATGTTATAAGGAGCCTTCCTGCTTTAGAAACTTTAGAAAGGCACAGACCAAAAATCCCATAACCTAAATTACTTCTTTACTTTTGCAGATCTAATTCTGGCCCTTCCTTCCCCCAGTTTAATTCCTTCCTCCCTCCATGACACCACACCCCACAGAGGTGTGAATGAGGCTTGGTTACTGCTTTTGCTCTTAGCAAGGTTTCTAGTCTGGTTATCTTGGTATTTGCAGCTAGTGTAGAGAAGGGGAGCAGCAGGGTTTCTGCTTGTATTGAAGAACCATAATCCTATTACACCTACCTTGAATCTTTCATATTAGCTGCCTTTAAAATGGGGGGATGGATGGGAGGTGACTCAATTGACTTTTAAATCCTTAAGGGTCCTACTTCCAAAATCCCCATGTGTAAGTCAAGTAGTAGATTAGGTTCCCCACTAAGAAGGCCCTGGCTGCATTAGAGACCTAGCTATTGAGCCTTGTCCTATAGGTATGTCCCCATATGGGGCCTGTACCTTCTAGGTCCCACCATGTCACATTAGATTGGCATGTGATTATGTCTTTCACTGGAGATCCTTGGCAGAGCCTAAATGGGGTTACCTCTTATTGGATCTCAGATCCATTGGCTTATTTTTGATCCCCTTATGGAGAATGAACTAGGAAATGCAAATCAAGCTGGATTTCAGTACCATAGCTTTTGATTTGCTTTGAAATCACTGGAAAAATGATGAGATCTAAAGTGCACCCTTGCCTATACAATTCTCTGTCTGTCACCACACCCACAAAAATATATATTAAAATGTATCTTAACCCAATTTTCTATTATGGGATGTTTTGTTTCACCTTTAGTCATACAGAGGTTTTAAAAACATTTTATTGCTATCTCAGCAACAGTCAGACTCAATCAACTGATGCAGCAACAAAGTCTTTGTCACATTTGACATTTATAGTTATCTGGCCTTCGAATTCAATGTTGGTCATTGTATTTATTCTAAATTCAGTAACCATGTTGTTTTCCTGGTTCTGCTCACTCCACTCTGTATCAATTCATATTTGTTTTCTTGTGTTTCTTTGAATTCTTCATGTTCATCATTTCTTATAGCTCTACAATATTCCATTGTATTCATTATCATCACTCAGAAAATAGTAATTGTTATTTCTCATCACTCAGAAAATATGATGCCTCACAATACTTACTTCTCTGAAATTCACAAGGGACCATCCTTTCTCTTTTCCTTCTCCCTTACTGTTACTATCTTTGCTCTGTTTATTATTTTCCATTTATTCTGTAAATAGCTTGTTTGTTCAACCATTCCCAAGTTTATGGGCAGCCACTTGTTCCCAATTCTTTTCTCACCACAAAAGTGCTCATAGATTGTCGAGCTATTTGACTAAGCACTGGACAAATATAATCTTATCCCCTTCCAATTTTTATAGGTGATTTAGTGGATAGGTCACTGGACCTGGATTCAGGAAGACTGGACTTCAAATTTAGCCCCTAGATATGTAACCCAGGGCAAGTCAGCTTCCTTATCTATAAAACGGGGATAATAATAGCACTGTTTAGCACTGTAACACTCAGGGTTATCGTGAAGATAGAATGAGATAATATTTGTAAAGTACTTTGCAAACCTTAAAATGTTATATGACTGCTAGCTATAGTTATTATTATTATTATATTTATATTCTTTTCATTTGAGGTTGCATTTCTTTTTATACCTCTGAATCTAGCTTATCTGCTTTCTCAAATCATCATTTAATATTCCTTATTCATTTCTTTAGAATCTCCCTCCTGCTCCTTTCTCCTTTCCTCTGAATAATTCTAGATGCCCTCTTCTCAGAAGTGAAGGGAAATATTGAGGTTTTTAAAACCATTTTGACCCCTTAAGTCAAATAAATGGTCATCATTATTTTTATTATTATCCTATACTAAAGGAGTAACAAAGGATCCCGAGGAATTAAGGTTGAGTAAATACAGATCTAGATGCTTTTCTCAATTAACTTTTGTGCTATTTCAAGTTTTTATTGATAAAGAATTAATATCTATATCCTGAAATAATCAGTGACATCATGTGGGAGGTGACTTCTCATGCTGTAGCCTGAGTATGGAGTCAGGAAGACCTGGGTTCAATTCCCACTTCTCAGACACTTACTAGTTGTGTAACCCTGGGCAAGTCATCTCACCTTTGAGTGCTTCAGTTTCCTTCTCTGAATAATGAAGGGGCAGGAAGTGAAGGTCTCTCAGGTCACTTCCAACATGAAATCTATGGTTCTATGGTCCTGGGTGTTTTCTTTTCTAAGACAAAGGAAGAGAAGAGACTGGGTTTTTTTTTTTCTTTTTTCATTTGATTTATTTCATTTCCTTCCACCAACAAGCATGTTTACTTCAACAGTTCCTTTAGGAATTGTAATGGCATAAATCTCTCCCTCTGTTGATTTCAATTTAATGAGAAGACATTCCCAACCACTTTACTGGCTTGTAAATCTATTTCCATAAACAGCATATTTCAGTCCACTCAGATTTTTTTAATGTATTCTTTCCCTTCATCACTTCCTTTATGCTCTTCCCTTGCAGGCCTGGCCAGAGGACTGTAGATGATCTGGAGATTATCTATGAAGAACTGCTTCACATTAAGGCCTTATCACATCTTTCCACAACAGTAAGTTGCCTTTTCAATTCAGTAACATTTTTGAGTCAACAGAAATGGTCAGGAGATGATATATGAGACCTTTGCTGCCTAGGACTTTCTTATCATAATATTAATATTTCATTACTACTACTATTCCTACTCCATTTACAAAAGCTGTATATGCCAATACAAAGAATCAATCAATAAATGAACAAGTATGCATTTATTAAGTGCCTACTGTGCACTGGGCTAGATGCTGGATACAAAAACAATGACATAATCGTTACTCTCAAGGAATTCATCTTACATTTTGATGGGCAAGACCACAAATACATATATAAGTATATACAGAATAATTACAAATAAATATAGAGTAATTCGGTATAAATTCAACACTATAACTCATGCCTTGAAGGAGCAGATATAATGTGATAAAGTCCTTAAAGAGTGTAAGCTCCATGAGGGCAGAGACTGTCTTTCAACTTGCATTTGTATTCCCAGAACCCAGCACAGTCCTTGGCACACAGTAAGAATTTAATAAATGCTAGTTGACTGGTTTTTAAATGAACTCTTGTGGGAACTTTTAGAAAGGAAAGGAAAATTTGCCCTGAAGAAGCAGGCAGCAGAGTACCAGGGGAGAGAGGTCTGTGGATCAAGAAAGCATAGGATTAGCCTCACAGAGAAAAGCAAATATAATTTAAATAAGCCTGCCTTTTCTGAATTTTCTCCTCTGTTTCTTTTAGGTGAAACGAGAGTTAGCCGGGGTTCTCATCTTTGAGTCCCATGCCAAAGGAGGGACAGTATGTAAGTAAGGCACCCTTGTTGAAGGTGCTGACTAGTTTGAGATTCTTAAAAGCACCCGCCCTGGGAAGCTATTTGTGGAGGATAGTGGCCATTTGGGAGAGAAGGGAGGGGTGGTACATGAAGATTTTCTATTTCTGGCGCTCAGCTTGAGTAATTTCTACTAGTCATTAAGATTCTAACGCATTTGGCCTACAAGTACTCTCACTTCCTATCCAGATCAGCTACAGAAATTGTGAACAATACCTGAAGCATGGGGGAACTGGGCAAGTTACCTCTATGATTCTTTCGTTGTCATTGCTGTGACTCTTCGTGACCCCATTTGTGGTTTTCTTGGTAAAAATACTGGAGTGGTTTATCCAGCACATTTTACAGATGAGGAAACTGAGGCAAACAGGGTTAAGTGACTTGCCCAGGATTACACAGCTAGTAAGTGTCTGAGGTAGGATTTGAATTCAGGTCTTCCTGACTTTAGGCCTGATGCTCTATCCACTGCACCACCTAGATGCCCCATGATTCTTTTGGGAGCATCTAAACTAGCTCTCCTTGCCTACCTCTGCCAATAACTAGCTATTTTTTAAACCTTAAGCTCTGGTCGTTCCACCTCCCCGAGGCTCTTATTCTTTATCTATTAAATCCTGTAGTTGGAATAGATGGTCTCTAGCACTGAGAGGTTAAGGGACTTGCCTAGGGTCACACAGCTATTTTGTGTCACAGGTGGGACTTGTACCCAGGTTGACCTGGCTTTGGGTCTGGAATATTATCCACAATGGAAAGGGTTATTAACCTTTTTTTCCCTTTCTTTTTATGCGAAGGACCCCTGGCCACTCTGAGGAAGGCTAAGGACCACTTCTCAGAATAATGTTTTTAAAGGCATAAACTCCCTTCTAGTTCTAATACTTCTGTGACTCCATAGTTCTCCAGTTGAAATGATATACAAAACCCTCCCTTCCTCCAGATAACTAAACTCTTTAAGCTCTCTGTGTCACAGCTGCCTTGTTTGGAAAGTGGGGATAATAGTCGTATCACTGACCTCACAGGGTGGGTTGTGAGGAATGCACGTTATAAGCCTCAGAGTGTTAGATAGAAGTGTCCCAAAAGGGCACTTACAGCAGTTAAACCTCAAACTATCATAAGACTTTTAGGACATCCTGTATAAAGGTGAGCTTTTGAGTCATAAGAACTGAAGCTCATCAAGTCCTTAGAGATCATCTAATCCAAACCTCTTATTTTCCAGATGAGGAAACTGAGGTCTAGAGATGCTAAGTGATTTTTCCCAATTTCACACAGCTGCGGACAGGATTTGAACCCAAATCCTTTAACTCTAAATCGAGTGCCAGTGGAGTCAGGAAGAACTGAGTTCAAATCCACTCTGGGACATTTACTGGTTCTATGACTCTTTTTTTTTTTTTTTTTTTGGTAAGGCAATGGGGTTAAGTGACTTGCCCAGGGTCACACAGCCAAGTGTTATGTGTCTGAGACCAGTTTTGAACTCAGGGCCTCCTGACTCCAAGGCTGGAGCTCTATATACTGCGCCACCTAGCTGCCCCTGGTTCTATGACTCTGAACAAGTCACTTAGTCACTGTGTGCCTCAGTTTCCTCATCTGTAAAATGGGGATGATAATGATAGCAATTACATCTCAGGGTTGTTGTGAGGTTTGAATGAGATAATAATTGTAAAATGCCTGGCACATAGCAAGAGCTACAAATGTTAGCTGTAATATAATTTTACATTTCCTTCACAAACTATAAACTTATAAACTTTTAAAAAATTCTTTGGAGGTGTACTGATTTTTCCTGCTTTATGGAAACTAGCATCTATTTGGAAAATGAAGGATTACTGGTAAACTGACATTTAATAAAAAATAAATTAATGAATGGATGAAGAATAGATAAATAAATAGATAAAAAGATAAATAAAGGATAGAACAAATGGAGAAATGGTTCTGTTCCCCTTATATGTATTATACTTCAGTATATAAAGGACTCATGATTTCATGAGTGTAGGTACTCCTTTCTACTAATGCCAATTGCAGTCCTTCTATACCATGATACCCTGTGGCATGAAAGCATTTATACCTTTATAACCTTAATGTGACCTGGTGGCCAATCTTCTAATGATGAGCCTCTCCATGCAGGTAGGCTGGCCCTCAGGCAATGGTCATACCCAGCCTCCATGGTCTATACTTGAAACATTTCCAGCTTGAACAGAACCTTCTAGACTTATATTCTGAGTCTAGAATAAGGATTGGCAAATCATGGTCCCCAGGTCAAATCTGGCCTGCTGCCAGTTTTTTTAAGGTCCTCAAACTAAGACAGGTTTTTACATTTCTAAATAAAGTTTTTTTGCTTTTTAAAACATACAAACCATTCTTAGCTCGCTGGCTGTACAAAAAGAGACAGAGGTAGAATTTGGCCCTCGTGCCATAGTTTGCCAACCCTTATGCTAAATAAATAGTTATTAGGGGGAAAAATACGTAGAATAATATTTGAGAATTTATGACCCCCTCCATGCCAGAATGAAGTACCTGGGCAGGAGGTCAGTGGAAATTCAAACATTATAGAAACATTTTATTTTAATCTCCTTGAATAGGTTAAAGTTTTGTAGTAATGTTTTTCCTTCTGGAATAAATGTATAATGTTGTCAGGGTGGTGATTTTAAAAAAAATTATAATTGCATAAACTGCAATTTATATTGATGTACTTCTATTATTATTATCAGTATTTTCTTTCTTTTCTACTTCTTCTTGCAGTGTTTAACCAGGGTGAAGAAGGTACCTCCTGGTATATTATCCTAAAAGGATCAGTGAATGTAGTCATTTATGGCAAGGTATTTTCCCCCTTTTTGAAACCTTAATATGCTCCATTTGCTGCTGTAATTGTAAGAATTAACACTAAAGTACTAGCATTGAGCTTGCAACAACACGGTTATCTGATTTAATAAAGAGAATATAGCTTCTCTTATAGAAATGATCCCACTTTATCATCGTGCTGTATGGTATTATCTTTTTTGGTGCTCTCCTCCCTGTTGATTATAGTGTATGAATTTCTTAAGGTAGGTCCTAGACCATGTGAATATAACTCAATGTGGTTTCATCTGTTAGAGAAAGCTAATCTAAAACAGTGTCGAAAGGAAAATGAAATTGAATTCTTATGATACATCCTTCCTCAAGCACCCTGAGACAGGTCAAACCCAGGAAAATGCATCTATGTTCTTGTGGTTTGAACACCAGATGGACTAGGGAGGCTCTGGGGGGTGTGGTGGGGGCAGCTTTCCTGTTCTAACAGTCTCTTTAGAATCTCCCATTGTGTTTAGGGAGTGGTGTGCACCCTACATGAGGGAGACGACTTTGGGAAGTTAGCCCTGGTCAATGATGCACCACGAGCGGCCTCCATCGTTTTACGCGAAGATAATTGCCATTTCTTAAGAGTGGACAAAGAAGATTTCAACCGGATCCTAAGGGTGAGTGAAGGGCAGGCCCCTGAAAGTGGGGAATCCTATCTTTGTATGGTCACTAGGAACTCCTTTCCCCACAAAATACATGTATATTTTGAACCTGGATGATCATACTTTGACAAATTAATACTCTGGGAACAGGTCTCTATTATGACAAATTCAATCACATTTTGAAAAGGAGAGAGAACAGATTTAGAAAGATAAAGTAGAACGGTATAGTGGAGGAGAACCAGCAGCCTTGAGGCCACATGTGGCCCTCTAGGTCCTCAAGTGTGACCCTTTGATTGAACCCAAACTTCACAGAAAAAAAATTTGGATTCAAAGGGTTGTACTTGAGGACCTAGAGGGCCACATGTGGCCTCAAGGCAGTCAGTTCCCCGCTCCTGACTATATAGTGGTATGGGCGAGTAGCTTAACCCGTCTGGGGTGCAGTTACCTCACCTGTAGAATAAAGTGCCCAACAATGCAGGATATTTGATTCATGTGAATACAAATACAATTCCTTTGTAAAATATTAAATTGATATATTTAGTTATATTTGGAATATATATATATATATATATTATAGATAAGAGAACTCTAAGGTTCCTTCCAATTCTAGATTTCTAATCCTATAAGGGAGCAACAAAGAAGAGGGAAGAAATGAAATCTTCACATTATGAGAAGCAGAGGCATATAGTCAGGAATGTGCTAGAACTAATTTGAACTGTCATGAGAGAGAGCTGATGGTTAAATTTTCAGTGTGAGCATTTAGATTTCTGAAATCAGCAAATCAGAGCTTGATTTACTATTTAGTTGACTGTCTAGAAGATTTAAGAAAGTGATGGAGAAAATGTTAATAATGTAGATGAAACTTAAAAGTGTGTCATGCATACTTTCCCCCTTCTTGGAGTGCCACTTGTTAAATATTGACCAGTACACCCACCCCTGCATTTGGTTCATCATCATCATCATCATCATCATAGCTAGCACTAACATAGTACTTTAAGGTTAACAAAGCACTTTACAAATGCTATCTCAATTTAACTTCACAACAACCCTGTAAGGTATTACTACCCCCATTTTACAGATGAGGAAACTGAGACTAAGAGGTTAAATGACTTGCCCAGGGTCTAAGCCCAGTGCTTGAAGCCTGTGCTTTATGTCCTTTCCCCACTTGGTAGGGATCCTTCCTCTCCATCTCCTTTCTGTATCTCAGTGCTTCCTGTTTTCTAACTCTTTCCCTCTCGTGCAAAGTAGGAAGGACCTGATATGAGGTCATTCAGCCTTCATCCTTACCATTCTCTCCACTCAGTACCTCACACCCTCCATGCAGGACCCAGGACCTTTCCTGATCTCCCTAGCTTCCTTTATGAAACCCAGAATTAACCTGCTCTTCGTCATTCAGGTCAGAAGTTCTTAACCTGAGATCTACTCACTTGGCCTTTTTTTTTTTTAAATAGCTTGATAATGATTATTTCAATATAAATGTATTTCCTTTGTAATCCTGTATATTCTTTGTTATGCATTTAAAAACATTTAGTCAGCAGTCAGTCAGCAAATATTTACTAAGCTATTATTGTGCTCCAGATCCTCTGTTATATACTGGTTAATCATCTTCCCCAGAATACTAAAGGAGGTCATTTGTGTTTTCTTAACACAGAAAAGATTAAGAGCAACTGAATTAATGATAGGGACCAGGACAGCATTGAGACACTGAAGGACTTTCCTAGGGTCACAGAGCTAGTGGCAAAGGAAGGATTGGCTTTGTGGATGCTACTTTATACACTATTCTGGAACTCAGACTTTTTTTTGTCATGGATCCCTCTGGCAGTCTGGAGAAGCCAATAGACCCCCTTCTCAGGATAATATTTTAATGCATAAAATATAAAGGCTTGTAAAGGAAACAAATAAGTGAAATACGGTGATAAAAATATTTTAAAATCAAATTCATTAATCGCAGTTGAAGAACCCTTGCACTATAGCAAGATATCTTTCTTTCATCATTTATACCAAGTTAATTGAGCGTCAGTCTCCACTGAAGTCCTACTCCACTAACGTGCCTCTTCATTGCATGGAGGCAATTCTAGGGAACACAAGCCCTGGAAGACTGGATACAGTGACAGACAGTGCTTGCTGCCCAATAAATGCTCTCTTCATCAGCAAGTTGGCCACTAACTAATGTATTTGTGGGCCAATAGCTGCCCATAGGGAGCAGTTGAGAATCAGTTGTTAGCTATTCCCTAAAAATCAGTTTAACTATTGGTACTCTCGCTGTAGGCAGCTAGGTGGTTCAGTGGGTAGAGTGCTGAGCCTACAGTTGGGAAGACTCATCTTCCTGAGTTCAAATCTGGCCCCAGATGCTTACCAGCTGTGTGACCCTGGGCAAGTCACTTAATGCTATTTGTCTCAGTTTCCTTATCTATAAAATGAGCTGGAGAAGGAAATGGCAAACCACTCCAGTATCTCTGCCAAGAAATGGGGTCTTCATGACATGACTAAAAATGATTCAACAACAACACTCTCAATTTGAGATCATTACACATCAGCCAGTGAGTTGATAATATTGTTTGGTGTTAGAAGCCCTAGGTTCCAATCCTGACTCTGACATTTATTACCCGTGTTACCTTTGACAAATCATTTAACTTTTCAGGGCCTCAGTTTCCTCATCTGTAAAATGAGAGGTTGGACTAGATAGGCTTTGAGGTCCCTTCCAGCTCTATAGTGAGGATCCTCACAAGCCCCAATTGAGCATCCGAAGGGTTTCAATTATTTTTTGTCATTTTCTAAATAAATGGCAGCATTGGTATGTGATGTGATTTGTATTTCTAGGATGTTGAGGCGAACACAGTAAGACTTAAAGAACATGACCAAGATGTCTTGGTGTTGGAGAAGGTCCCAGCAGGAAACAGAGCTTCTAATCAAGGAAACTCACAGCCTCAGCCAAAGTATGTTTTCATCCAACCCTGCAATTGCCAGGCAATGATTAACCTTTGCACGTGGTATCATCATTTCTATAATAGCATATTCTCCTCTGTGGAAGACTGCCGGGCGTATCACTTTTCTTTTTAAATTTTTTTTAATGTTATAACCTAAATTACACATCTTGTAAAGCATAATGTATCCATTTCTGATCATGTATGAGGTCTAGTGCTATCTGAAATCATTCTCTAAAGAATATTGCCTTAGACTAAAAGCTCTCACTCTTTGCAGTGCTTTAGAGAGATAGTTTTATAGAAGAAAGCATGTGAGAAGGGAGAGAAGAAAGGATATCAATCGTCTTAGATGACCAGTAGGTCCCTGCACAATAGGAAGAAATGAGATTTGGCTCAGAAACTTGGGAATGCAAAGAAGCATTATTGTTTTTGTCAACAGAATGGATGGCTAGAATTAGAATTCAGTGTTTAGAATTCAGTCTGCTGAGCATGGGACAGTAGGTGTCAGTGATTCATGTCAACACCCACCTGCCTGTTAAATTCAAAACTGCATTTGATTCTTATTCCTCTGACCCTCTATCTGACTCACAGTCTCTTAAAAATAATCTGTTTTAGTTCTGCTTTTATCTGCATCTTCCTACACAAGATGTCTATCAAATGTATTTGTTTTGTGGGGTTATAAGAAATGTTTGGCTTCCTTAGTAGACTCTAGAAACATGTTTATATAGAATTTGAATTGAAAAGGCATATTCTAATATGGAGATTAGTATCAAATTTCTGAATGAAAGTAAATTCATGCAATAACCAGGAGCAATATCACCAAATCCTGATGTGGTCAGAAGGAATGAATTACAAGTATTTGGGATCATAGAGTCACAGAATGGTAATAGTTAGAAGGAACTTTCAAGGTCATCTACTGTTACCTCCTCATTTGTAAGATGAGGAAATGGAGGCTTAACAAAATAAAACAGTTTACTTAAAGTCCATCAGCAGAACCAGGACTAAAACTGGGAAATCCAGATTCTGCCCCCAAAAAACCCCAAAACCCCGAAACATAAAAACCTATCTTCGAGCCTTCTCTGACATATATAAGCCATTATAATGTATTATAATAGCACTGCTAGGATGTAAAAATGCCAGCATAAATTTATTTTTAAGTGTTAAGAATAATATAGGAGTCATTTCTATGGATATCTGTACAGTTAAAGTACCAGTCTGTTAAAACAAAGATAAAAGTCCATATCAAACTCAAAGAATAAAAATAAGAAGCTATGGTATATACTTGAGGCAACTCCAACCTGACTTATTTAAACTATCTGTTGATTCCCTCAAAATGGGAAATGAATAAAAGAAAAAACATTGGCACCGCTATTATGTTTCCTAAGCAATGTAATCAGTTATCACAGTGAGGAAGCTGAAGGAGCCCAACTTGATTTCCTTGTTAAGCAGAGAGATACTACAGTCAAAAACACCAAGTTAGACTAGATATGCATTTGTACAATTTTATGGAAAAGGATGGTGAAACATTATCAACAGTATTGTTTCATAAGGTAGCAAGGAGAAATTGAGTAAAAATCAAATTTGCTAAAATCTTGATGAGAGTAAATTTAGCAGATGTACCTCTTCGACAATGAGAGATAAGACTGGAAGAAGAACAACAAACAGATCAAATATAGAAAAGATCTTTAAAGATTTTTATAACAAACCCTTTTCTCCATCAATTACAGTGGAGCCACCACATTTGGACTCTAACATCACAGTCCCTGATGTGCTTCATGAAATGGCAATAAAGAAAAGAAAGATGAGAAGAATGGCTGGACTAGACCAAGTTTACAGACAGGAGGTCTGTGCTGAAGATGACATAATTTTGAGGTGGTTAGGTAATGATTCTAAAAGTATTTAAAAGAGGGGAGAATAGCAAAGGTTAAAATCTGACTTTTTTTTAACCATCACCTAAAAAAGTGATCAAGAGAAGATAATAACTACCCAACCATTTGCCTCTTTTGTCATCACTACAAAGTTTTTAGGAGAATACCTGTACACCAAGGAAATCCTTGATGAAGTATGAGAAGGGAATAGGAAGGCTTTCACGAATGATACTTCATAGCAGACAACATTTTTATAGTCATGTGTTTGACTGTGTTGTAAACAATACAGAATCTCCTGTTTATATTTCTTATTAACTATAAAAATGCATTTGATTTGATAAGGAAAAACTCCACCTTAAAGGCTCTCCTCAAAAAAAATGTCTTTCAGGCATATATCAAAATTATACAAGATTCCTTGAAGTATCTAACATCAGAAATAACTTTGATAACTCACTGGTTATTAATATCAAGCAAGGCATAAAACAGGGAGATAGTACTCACTATAGGTATCTACCACTGTCATGGACGGAGGATGTCTACCACAGAGTCCAAATGGAAGAGGGATTTCCTAAATGATGAGGTGCTCTCACTGTTACCATTTGTGGATCACATTGAATAAAGTATACCTTGCAGATCCTCCTCAAGAAGATGTATGGTGATTGTTTAAAGAGTTCAGTGGAACCAGACACATAGGGAAAACCAAGTGAATAAAGATTGACTATCGTCCAGAATGACATTCATTTGGGTGGACAACTGATAGAGCTGTCGCATCAGTATGTAAATGATAGAGAGATATATCACATATATGGGCCTAGGAAGACAGCAGGCTGAATTGCCTTTGGGAAATTGCACAATAATACAAAGATAGAGGATAGGCTGCTAGGTGGTACAGTGGATAGATCACCAGGACTGGAGTCAGGAAGCCTCATTTTCCCTGAGTTCAAATCTTGCCTCAGATACTTACTAGTTACGTGACTTTGGCCAAGTCACTTAACCTTGTTGGCCTCAGTGTAGAAAGCAGGACTCTTCGCCAGGAAGAATCACCTCTGACACAAATTGACTGAATTTCTGGGCAAATTATTTAACCTCTCAGGACTCTATGATACTCTCTATAAATTGCAGAGAAGCTGCCAACCCATATTTTTAGAGGACATTTCCTCTGCTAAGAATTTCTTATATGAGTGAAATCACAGGTCCAGGCCCTATCTTTAGTCTTTTAATAATCTCAATTTTCTCCAAGAAACAAAGGCCCATCTTATAAATAATAGTATTCTTCCAATGATTCTGTATAACTACAAATCATGTGATGCCTCTACCTCCAAAGAATTAAAGCTGAGAGTCACCCAAAGGGCAATGGAGAGGTATAGGGTGAGCATGAGCAGACTGTAATACAACACAAATGAAGAACTGTTCAAGAGAAATGGGGTGAAGGACTCTCATCAGAAAGATGCCTGACTGAGAAGGAAGAGCCAATCACGTGGTAAGAGCACCAGACAACTGATGAACAGGCCAAGTGCTCCACTGGTACCCATGCAGCATCAAGATGTATTGAGGAAAGAGCCAACCCGGAACATTGGTCAAACCCCTTTTGGAGGATGTATATAGATCTAAGGGTCATGTAGGTTGAGACGACAGCGTGGATGTCTGTCTGCGTTGTCGGAGGGAATCCACAGATCTTCTGAGATCACAGATCCATCTAAGTGTCAGAACATTTTATGGTCTGTACCTTGTCTTCAAGAAGTCCTTACTCAAATACTGTTTTTGAATGAGCCTCAACTTCCTAGAAGATTAAAAGCAAAGAGACATTTTCTAGTTTCAATGTTGGGGCACCTGCCAATGATTTTCTTCAATCCTAAAAATAAAATTGAACCAACTACCCAAGACATTTTTATATTCCAGTGTGTTGTTTTGTAATGACCTGGATGTCATAAGAAGCCTTATAGGTGATTTGTCTTTTAACCATTAGACTTTCAAAAATTGGCCTAAAACATTTGGGTTCAGATCCTTCTTCCAACTCTCATTGTATTGCCAAGAGTGAGTCATCTCAAACTCTCTGAGCCTCAGTTTACTCCTCGAAAAATGAGGATATTAATACCTGCGTCTCCTGTCTTCCACTACTGCTGTGACACTAAAGGAGCTAATGCATGCAAAGAGCTTCACAAATGTTAAGCTGTAAAGTGCTATGTAAATGTCAGTCATCCTCATGGCCCAGCCCTCTGCTCCTGTGTAGTCATCTCTCAATTATCTATGCTGTTGGAGGGGGACTGTAGACTAGAGCTTCTGAAATAATAGATAATACAGAATTATATTTACCTTTGTAATAAATAGCATGAATTTTTCCTATGCTTGTAAAATTTTCCTCCCAATTTATGATTTTGGTCTGTTTTATGTGGTGTTGGTTTTAATTTGTTTTTTTTTTAATTACCTTGCATTCTCAAAGCTCAAAACAGTTAATAGTGAGAAAAGCAATACAGAAGTGGATGGAAGGAGCCAGTGTGGAATAAAAGAATTCCTATAAATCAGTCATGAATGGATATTCCAAAATTGACCTGGCTAACATCTTCTCTTCTCCTCCAAACGTCTGCATTGAATCGAACTGGGACTTAAATGTATTATTGCATCATCCTCCAGAACATTCTTGATCTCTCAATTCTTAATCTTCTAATGTTTGGCTTTTCTCTGGATCCTTTTAATCCTTGCAGCCAAAGAGTTTGGGTTTTTTGGAAAGAATGATCAATCAGAAATCTGCTTCAAATGGTTTTACCATTGCCTTTTGGTTTGATTTTCGAATTACTTTATCTCTCTATAAAGTGAGATACTATTGAATTAAAGTTTGATAAGGTTCTTTGAGTTTCTCCAATTTAAAAACACCTCTAACACACCACGAATGATTATACAACACTTCTTTTTCTGCTTTGGAAAAAGCTAACTGCTTTTTTCTCCTTCTCCAGGTACACTGTGATGTCAGGGACACCTGAGAAAATTTTAGAGCATTTCCTAGAAACAGTACGCCTTGAGCAACCTTTAAATGAAACAACAGGTATGTGTTTTCATAATTAGATACATCTATTATAAGTGTTTATAATGTAAACAGGATGGGCCCAAACCAGAGTTCAGTCTGATTTTTTTTAAACCTGACTGGAATGTCCGTGGTGAGTGGAATGGTGGTGATCTCTCTCTCTCTCTCTCTTCCTTCTCCAGTATTCTATTCTCTCACTCCCTCCCTACCCTAATGATTCTTGCAGACTACCTAGATTTAAACCATGCATGTGAGGGGTTGCCTTACACAATTCAAGAAGATTTGCTCTAATCAGTATGGATTCTTGGGCAGCTTCAGAGCGTAAGGAATCTCACAGTGCGGTGGACCAGGCCCCTATGTATGTTGCAGATACTCTCAATATTGGACTAATAGTTCAAAATTAGGAAATTTTGGCTTCTCTTCATTACCAGCTTACTAAGTGACTCTGTTCATGCTATTTAATCTCCTTAAGCCTTTGTGCCAAGAGGAGTCTACTTCTTAGGGAACATGGCATAATGGAAATTTGGAGTCAGAATACCTGAGTTCAAATATATCTCTTCAATTTACTATCTGAGTAACTTCTTAGAGACTTAATTTCCTCATCTGCAAAATGAGGGGGTTAAAGTAGGTAATTTCTCAGGTCCTTTCCGCCCTTATGATCCTGTGAGTTCACATTTGTTTCAAAGAACATTAAATCCTGTGGATGAAAGTTACAAATATAATAGGCTTATTGCAAAGCTCTTTATGGTTACAAAGTACATTTCCACAATTAAATTTTCCAGTATCCTTGAAGGATGACCTATTATTGTTATTGTTTAACTGCTCAAAACATCTTTGCCACTTCTTATTTCCCTCTCCTATTCCATTTTCTGATTTTGTAGGTGGATACCCTGACACTCCATTCATACAAATTAAGGAGTGAGTAATGTAACAGAAAAAGCATACCTGCTGGATCCTAGACCACATAACCTACTAAATAAATATAATCAGGATAACTCAATTATCAGAGATGTGTTGGTCAATACTTCAAAATTTTATGATTTCGTAAGAGTACTCTCCCCACCCCCAAACCATTGATGAGAATCATACCCCATCTGTAGCTTACTTACCACATGGTCTTCCAAAGTTGTTCTGAAAAATATATTACCTTAAAACACAACCTGATGCTAAACTTAATTAGGCTGGTACTTGCACACCCAATCCATCACCAAGCTTGAACTCAGAGCGCTTCTAGCATGGTAAAGTCTGCTAGAGCTTGTGCTCCACTGACATAGCTTTTGAGAATCCTTTAGGGTAACCTCCGTGTCAGGAAAAGGTATTAGAGTGGGTAGGATATTAGTGGCATTTCAGTTACATGTCCATAAAATGCTACAACCTTTCCTCCCTCTAATATGGCTTCTATATGTATGTATGTATATATGTATGTATATGTGTGCTGGGAAGGTTTTTATTTGTGTGCATACATTCATATGTACACATATATACATATATAAATACACATATGCATATATATGTATATGCATGCACACATGTATGTGTATGAATGTATATGTGTCTGGGGCGGGTGTACAGCTAGGTGGTACGATGTAAATTGTTGGACTTGGGAGTTGGTATGACTTGAGTGCAAATCCTGTCTCACATACTTACCAGCTATTTGACCCTGGGCAAGTTACTGAACCTTTCTCTACCTCCATTTTCTCATCTATAAAAATAGGTATAATAATAACAACACTTACATCACAGGGTTGTTGTGAGGATTAAATGAGATAACACATGTAAAGCTCTTTGCAAACCTTGGATTGCTATATAAATGTCAGCTTTTATTCTTAGCTATTATTTATTTTATCATTTCATGGATTTCATGGGTATGTCTACATCTCTCGGTTTGGTACAAGACACAGACCTCTCTATAATCTGAATATTGTCTGAAAAGAAAGTTTCTGTTTACATTGGCAAGTACCTTATCTAAGAAGAGATCTGTAAGGTTTTTACTGTCTATGATAAAAAAAACAGTACCTTTCCTTTTAAGGTCTCCTCTGAAGGGACTGTTCTTTTAAGCAAACCTAATTGTACTGGCTTTTGAACAGTAAAGAATAGAAGTCAAGAAATCAGTCTATTTTGTAGCTGTTACATAGATCATTAACCTTGCCTCTGACCAAGGAAAAGATGCAGAATGTTCTCATTGACATTAGTTTTCTGATTCAGTCCTTGTAAATAAGAAAATGCTACATAAAGTACAGTTGCCCTGATTTAACATTTCAATATCCTTTTCTAGGAAGCCTCTGGTATTAGGCCAGTATTACAAGCAGTTAAACAGTCTGGGAAGAGTCATGCATCAGAGTTACTGCTAAAAGAAAGATAAACAAATGCCCAAAGTGCACCAAAGAACTAGGTTAAGTAGTGGGCCAGACTGACATTCATTCATTAAGTCAGTTAACATGCAACTATTAAATACGTTCTGTATGCCAGGCACAAACATTTATCAAGTCCCAAGCAATAATCTGACAAATGAAAATGAGCCTTTTTGTATTTATTTTTTGCTATAGTTTGTCAATTTTTTAACTTCATGTAAATATTCATTCATTAAAAAAAATTCATTCATTGCATTACTTTGATGTTTTAAAACTATCTACCATTATAGTACCATTATATTCTGTTCTCAAAGCAAGACGCCTATTAGCTAATCATACGATAATTTTGAATACATAAAAAATTATAATAATACCAAATATTAACTCTACTCTTCCTTTTCTCCTCTTTCCCTTTTGCTTGTCTAGTATTGTCTAGATTTACATATAGAAAAATTATTTGTTCATCATTTCAACTTTGGCCTAGGTTAGATAATAAAATTATGTACAATTATTCAGTAGAGAGACTTAACACATATTTGATTGATTTCCTGATGATCTTATACATTTTCTCAGTGATTCCATTACCCACCAAGGATTCAATTATCTTCTCTATACACAGGGAGTCCTAAAAGCCTTAATGGATTTTTAGATTCTCACAGCTCAAAACTGCACTAAGACTTTTGGGACTCTCTCTCATTCATATTTGTACATATATACACACATATATATATGTATATGCATATGCATGTATATATCTATAATGCACATGTGTGTATGTATATGTATGTGTGTTATGCCTTAACTGTGGGTAAACTGAGTCCTTTGTTTCTTCAGTGGGTCCTTGATAAACACTTTATGGATTTGGGGGCAGTTGCCCCTAAGACAGTACAAGGAAGCTATTTTTTTTCTATTTAGAAAGGTTCTCTTTGTCAATGTTAGAGCTACCCTTACTGACATGGAGATAATTCCAAAAGTAGACTTTTTTTCTCGGATTCTGGCCACATATTTCTCTTCTAAGACTTTAGGGATTTGATGAAGCATGCAGCAAGCTTTCTTGATATGTTAGTAAAACAATAATCATTAGTAAGCTGGAAGCAGTGGCCAAATCATTTTGATGAATGAAATGCAGCATTTTGGACAACTGATCTCATCAGCATCACATGGGATCATATATTTAGAGACTGAGGAGACCCTAGAGGTCATCTAGTCCAACCTGCTCCTTTTACAGATGAGAAAATTAGGGTCTAGAGAGGCTAAGTGACTCATCAATTTCAAAGAACTTTCAAGTTACAAACTCAAGTATCTACTCAGTATGTGCCTGACTCCAAGTCCAGCATTTTATCCACTATGCCTACTGCATTGTAAAAAATAGTGCATATGTTGAATGCAGAAAGGCATAGAAAGACTTACATAAACAGATACAAAGGTAAAATTTGAGCTGAGATCCTCTGACTCTAAATCCAGAACTTTCCCCACTGCACCACACTGCTTCCACAATTCTTGTGCAACAAATGTAGAGGATCATTTTAGGGTTCTAAACATCCACCATCTGACCAAATAGTGAGGGGTTAAAAAGAGGTCAGTGTTACAGATAAGGGATGGGAAGGATAAGGAGTAATGTATCATAGGCGTTTTAGACTCAGTGTGTCCAAGATGTAATTACTCATGCTTCTTTCAACACTACTCTTTCCAAACTTGTGAATAAGGGATTAGGAAAGGACATTACAGGAGTTGTAGAAAGACAAGTTCACTAATGCACTACTGGAGGGGCAGTGAATTGGTCCAATCATCTGGAAAGCCATTTGGAATTATGCAGAAGAAGAGACTAAAATAGTCATAGTCTTTAACCCACAGATCTCACTGCCTCAAGGAATAATAATCCTCAGGGAAGTTCATGACAAAAATAAAGGTCCCCTATGTTCCAAAATATTTATAGCATAAGTTTTTGTAGTAGCAAAGTATTAGAAATAAAGCAGATGGTCATTTTTTGGAAAATGGATTATTGATGATGATGATGGCAACAATGATGATTAGCTGGCATTTATCTTTAAAGTTTTCAAAGTGCCTTATAAACACTATGTAATTTTATCCTCATAACAACATCCAGAGGTTTCTTCTTCTTGTTCAGTCATTTCAGTCGTGTCCCATTCCTCATGACCCCATCTGTGGTTTTCTTGGCAAAGATACTGGAGTGGTTTCCCATTTCCTTCTCCAGCTCATTTTACAGATGAGGAAACTAAAGTAAGCAGGGTTAAGTGACTTGCCCAGAGTCACACAGCTAGTAAATGTCTGAGGCAGAATTTGAACTCACAAAGGTGAGTCTTCCCACCATTCTATCCCCTGTGTCATCTAGCTGCCCTGTGAAACATGGGAGGTAGATTCTATTATTATCCCCATTTTACATATGAGGAAACCAAGGCAGACAGGTTAAGAGATTTTCCCAGGGTCTAATTGCCAGAAAATGTCTGAGACTAGATTTGAACACAGGTCTTCATAACTCCTGACTTCCTTTATCCACTGTGCCTACTGCATTATAAAAAAAAATAGAGCATATGACGAATTCAGAAAAGCATAGGAAGACTTACATGAACAGATGCAAAGTGAAGAAAGCAGAGTCAAGAAAACAATGCACACAAGAACTACAATAATGTAAAAATAAGGGAAAAAATAGAAAGACCAACCACTAAATTTAAGCAGAAGGCTGCGACAGTTTATAATGACTAAGCTTGTCCCCAAAGAAGAGATATGAGAATGTATCTCCTTTCTTTCTTGCAAAGCTTGAGAACAATGAGTATGTGAACACTGAACGTGTTGTTGGACTTGAATGATATGTTAGTTTTGCTAAGCTAATTTTTTTTTATCTCTTTTTGTTTGCTCTTATGAAAGATAGCTGCAAGGGGAGAAGGGAAGGAATATATTGGGAAATTTAAGTGACATAAAAATCAAATATATAAATATAAAGAGACAGCTTAATGATGTAGTAATAGAGTGAGGGACTTGGAGTCAAGAAGACATGAGTTCAAAATCTACCTCATATACTTACTAGCTGTGCGACCCTATGCAAGTCACTTAACATCTGTTTACTTTAGATTCCTCATTTTATGGGCACAATAATAGAACCTACCTCTCAGGACTATTGGTAGAATTAAATGAGATATCATATGTAAAACTCTTTGTAAACCTTAAAGCATGATTTAAATACTAGCTATCATCATTATTGGGGAAGCTACATGGCACAGTTGATAGAGCACTAGGCCTGGAATGAGAAAGACTCATCTTCATAAGCTCAAATCTGCTTCAGATACTTACTGGATATGTGACCCTGGGTAAGTCATATACCCCTTCTTGCCTTCATTTCCTCTTCTGTAAAATGGGCTGGGGAAGGAAATGGCAAACCACTTCAATAACTTTGCCAAGAAAACCTCAAATGGGATCACAAAGAGTTGGCCATGATTGAACAAAAACAAAAATTATCATTATTATTTTTATTAAAAACAAAATAAATAGTATTAATTCCTCTAAATGGAAGGCACTCTCTAAATGCAATGCTGAGATACATCATACACCCTTTAGAGTTGCAGGTGGCATTTAATAATGCCATCATTAAATTTTCTGGTATACTTGTGAAATGAGATGTCTTATAATTTACTACTTTACTTTCCTCAATGCTTTACCTTTGTGGTTTACTCACTGGAATAACTTCCCTCTGGTGGAGGGAATTTTGGGCCAGTTAGGCACGAAGGGCAGTCTAGGGCAGCATGGGGAGCAGCAATGTTCAGGCTTGCAAGCCTTGCTCCTGTGCTCCTCAGCTCATTCATTTGCTTGCTCTTTTATTCATCCATTCATTCAGGAATGGTTTCTGGAATGTTTGAAATGTGCAAGTTCCAGATCAAAGCAAGAAGACTAGTAAATGCTTTTCAGGATACCCTGGGACTATGCTGTGTTAATGAATTGAGAATCTTTCCATCTCCAGGCCTGTCCATGAGCTGTGAAAAGCTGCTTCCAAAACAAATTTCTAAGAAACATTGGAATGGGAGCTGTTTACTTAGTGTTTCTAGACCAAGGATTTTTACAAGCTAATTCTTCCATTTTGTTCTTGTTTTTTTCCCCTCCAGATTCAGCTTTAAATGACTTCATCATGATGCACTGTGTTTTCATGCCCAATTCTCAGCTTTGCCCAGCCCTGGTGGCCCAATATCCTTTTATTATGAAAAGTCACTTCCCTTGAGAACCACCTTTCATAGAAAAGATTCACATTACCGTGATGCCCTCTAATCATCCTCTGGTAAGTCATGGCCTCAGTTTGAGGTCTGTACTGTAAGCCTATACTAAAATCCAGGGATTTTTCCCAATCACAGAACTTTGGAACCACCTACAATTACTCTAACCAGCATGCGCTGGAGGAGTTCCCCAATTGATTTATATTGATTTCAGGAAAGATATTGATGATAATCACATTGGATAAGAAGGCATGCATGGGCTATGATCTCTACAGCATATAGCACATAGTACGCACTTAAGAAATGTTTGTTGACTGATTAACTAACTATACAGGTGGAGGAAGTACCAATGATTCATAATAAAATATGGGTCCATTGATGTTTTGAAATACTATCCATTAACCTGTTTTATACATAATGAAATGTAGTGAATATCAGAGATTACACGGGAAGAAAACAGAAATTGAATCCAGAAGAATGTGTATGACTGCATAGGTGGCAGAGCCAGGGGGAGAGAGAGAGAGAGAGAGAGAGAGAGAGAGAGAGAGAGAGAGAGAGATTCAGAACAGTTTTCTAACTCAGTGATGTTATGGAGGACTGCTACCACATCATCCCTTGGCACCCCTTCTAGAGATAGAATGACAACTCAGGCTGTTACAGAAAAGTGTTATTACTGCTAATTCCTGACATGCTTGAATAGCCAGATGTGGAAAAACAAACCTACCAGTGTAGTATTATTCTTGCCTTCCTATCTGAGTTGTGTATCACTGGGGAGAGTAATCATATCAATTAGGCCACAGATCCATATGTGTATTAGAGTTTATCACAATCCCTCTCTGCCCCTCTTAGATATTTATCAACTGCTTTATCCTTTCACTAAGGATTTTTTATTCAAATATCGATTTTTAAAAATACTGTGCATTTTAATAGTGACACATTGTCTCTCCTAGAAGACAACTTGGTAATGGTTTTTGTTTTAGGCAATTGCTTAAGGTCCATTAGTGAAGCTGGCTGAGATGATGATATTAACAAGTCCCACATCCCAACACTGAAATACGAAAGGGGTAATTTACCACTAGCAGCAACAAAATTTTGAAATTAAAAGCAAGTTGATTTTGGGTAGCAAAATGTGTTGAAGAATAGAGAATGGCTTTGACTGATATTCCTTTCCTTATTCCAAAGCAGTCCAATCGCTGTTGACATGCAATTTTTTTCTTTTTTGTTACAATTAATCTGCCTGATTCTCATTTTCCTGCATACCCATAATTCTCATTGAAATCAGCAGAATGCATGAGGGTGAGAGATTTGAGCTGAATATGTTACTCAGTGGGAGCTGCAAGAGTGAGATTTGAGTGTTTATTTGTCTGGGAAACTATCTTTCCAAATAATGACAGCTTAATGAGACTTACATATATAATATGGTCTTTCTGGCTCATATTCAATTTTTTTTCTGAGACAAATGGACAATTCCATGCTCACACTGTTCTCTTTTAACTGTACACATAGGAGTCATTATTAGACTCGGGGTTGTAGAGAAGACTGAAAAAAAAAACCTTTGAGAATAGGCATTTCCCTTGCCATAGTTGGCTAGTGTTGTATAAACATGAACCAAAGAAAAACATAATCAAACTATGTGCAAGGAGGAATATAGGAAAACCATTTCCTTTTCCTTTTTAAACCCCCAAAACTCCAATATTCAAGCTTAGACATTTTGTAATTTTAAAAATTTTGTTTGTCCTCTTGCCTGATCTCTTACAAAGATGCATGTTAAGATACCTATTTCACAGGTCTCTCTTAAAACAGGAGTACCTACCAGGTGGGTATCCAATTTACTTTACTCTAAGTACAATGTTATGCCCACATAGGCATTTAACAAATACTTTGTAATGGAAAAAATAAGGAAAAAAGAAACCTATAGAAATGTGAACAACAGAATCAAAAGGTAAATTGACACCAGCATTTGATTGTTAAATCCAGGTGGTCTCTGTATCTTACTGTACACACCCCTTTATTTCTCAGCCTTTATAGAATCTTTAGATCTCTGATGTAAGTTAATGCCTGACATCAAAGAGATAACAAAATTAACTTAGAAATACACCTTATATGACAGAGTTTTACAGCTCAGATATCATGATACATAAGTTCCAAGTGATCCTTTCAAAAGATCCCAATGGAAGTTTCTTGTAAGGTTAAAGAAAGTGTTCATGAACAGAACAACAGCAGCTCGTACGGTCAAGTACCAGCTGTCCTCCATCCCCAGCACCTCTGCTAACCTTCTGTACCTATGCTGGTAGTGGGGCCCTTGTACCCTGGATTTTAAATTCAATTAGGATCATTTCCTTGCAGTCCACCAATCTTTGCATCCCCTTTCTCTCCAAAAAATTCCAATTCCCTGCCTTCTAGGTGTTTATATTCTACTAGAAAGAAATAATATGCTTCCGATTGTTACTTGTTCCTCCCTAGATTAACTAACTCCTGGAAATGCATATAATAGGTGGACTAATTTAATCTTCTTTCCAATGATTTTGCCACATAGTGCCTTCTCCTTCTTTCTCTAGGCATTCTCATGCATGGTCCACTGCCCACAAAGTTAATTTGGTGACAGTGTAGTCTAAATGGAGCATTGAATGAGGAAGAGAGGGGAGTGTTCTGAGCAGACTGACTTGTCCATTCCACTCTACCCTTGTTTTCTATCAGACTCTGCTGCTGCTACCCAGTTATTCAGTGAATATTAGGCTGTGTGTGTGGAGGGAGGCAGGGTAGTGGTAAATTGAAGGGGCTAAGGACCCGGTACTGGTTGCTACTAATGCTGGGATTTCCAGAATCTTACTTCAGGGTGTCAGAGTGGTAGTGGTGCTGTTGCCTGTAAAGTTAGAGCTGGATATTTGTTTGTATGATGACAATAAGGGGATCTGATGGATAGGGAGAAGCTCACCCCTAGCATAACAGAACCTGGCCTTTCATGGCACTGAAGCCATGGCCACTCACAAACTTGGAGGATTTGTCTGAGCCCTGATTTATAAGTCAATAGCAAAAGATTGTGTGAGGTTAAGCAGCTAAGTAAACCTCGTTGTACCTCCATTTTTCATCTGTGAGATAAAGAGAATAGAGAATATTTCACCTACTATAATATGACATGCAACCTCAACCCTTCCTAATGTCTAACAACCCTTCTACTCTATCACTTTCTTTAGTCTCCAAGGGAGGTACTTGAACATTTATATCCTCTTCTGAATTCCACTCTCCCCCCATCTAAATGTACACACCTACACACGCGTGCTCGAGTGTGGGAACTCACACGCGCATGTGCACACACACACACATACCCATACACACCCACACCCACACACACACACCCCACCACCACCACCACCACCACCACTACTACCACCAGGACCAGCACCAGCACCACCACCACAACCACCACCATCATTGAAGCAGATAGCTTGGCTTCCTATTTCATCAAGAAGATTGAGGCCATCCAACATGAATCCACATGAACCCATCTCTCTTCTACTATTCCTCCAGTCTGATCAGCATCATCACCCTCTATTTCCTACTTCCCTCTTATCACAGGAACAGAGTTATAAGTGGCCAGTTCAACAAATACTTACTAAATGCCTGCTCTGTGATAGGCACTGGGACTACAAAGACAAAAATGAAACACATTTTGCCCTCAAGGAGCTTACATTCTACCATAGGGAAACAACATTTATACAGATAAGTTTACAAAATATGCAAAATATATTCAAAATAATTTCAGGCCGCTCACACCTGGAGGAATCAGCAAAGGACTCTTAATGAGAGAAAGTACTAGAGCTGAGCTTCAAAGGGAAGTAGGGATTACAAGCTGGAAGTGAGGAAAAAGTATTCCAGGCAGGAGAACAATCTATGCAAAAATACAGAATGAGGCGATGGAGTGTTATTACTGGGACAATAGGATCATTGACATAATAACCAGAAATTACTTAGCTAGTCTTTATCTAGTCCACCTTTCTCATTTTACAGTTGAGAAAATGTAGGCCCAGTGGCCTGAAGTGATTTGTCCAAGGTGATCCAGATAGTAAGTAACAGAGCAGCAAGTTGCCCAGTTTAGCTGGAACATAGAGTATTCCAGAGGGGGAGTAAAGGGAAATCAGTTTAGAAAGACAGGTTGAATTAATTTTATAGGGCTTTAAAGGCCAGAGGAGGTTGGATTCTATCCTAGAAGCAACAGGGAATCACTAAAGCTTTTTGAACAGAGGAGTAATATCGTCAGTTGTATGCTTTTGGAAAATCAATTTGGTAGCTGTGTGCGGGATGGAAAGAGTGTGTCAAACTGGTGTCAAACGAATAGAAATCGGGGCCACCAAACCATGCATAAAGGTTCCTGTGGCTGCATATTGACTTAGAAAATCATATATTAACATTGCGCTCTATTGTGAATTTATTTATTCTGTTATATATTTCCCAATTACATTTTAATCTAGTTCAGCAGGTCATGTATTTGACACCTCTGGTTTACATGATAAGCGATGAGGGTCTGAAGCAGGAAAAGTGACGATGAGGGGAAAGGATACAGATAATAATAATAAGTAGCATTTATTTAGTGCTTTGATATTTGAAAAACACTTTACAAATATTTCGTTTTATCCTCACAACAACCTTAGGAGATAGGTGATATCATCATCCTCATTTTTCAGATGAGGACATTGAGGCTGAGAGATTAAGTTGCCCATGGTAGGTAA